CACATCCCGAGGGTGACTGAAACGGTGTGAGGGAGCTTCAAACTTGCGGCGATCAAAATCTAACGGAATTACTGCTTTTCACCTACGTTTTATACTCGTCAATGTAAGCCATTTTTATATTCGCAAATCGATAAAACTAACAAATCATAAATCTAAATGAAAAGGATGCATATGCGTATAAAAATGTCGAAAACGTGTAAATAGAAGCTAAAGAAAATGTTTCAAGGAATCTACCGTTTCTCTTCGTGATTCTATAAAGTATAAACAATGACAACCGCGTATATTGAATTACGTCTGTAACCCATAAAGTAACTTTCGCAATTATTCGCAATAGGTACCGCCAAACGAAAACGATTTGCGCTACTAAGTCACCTCTGCTGTGAGCAATTCCGCTGATGATTTGCTAGCCAGACACTTTCCGTTTTAGAAGTTTCTCAGTTCAGTTTTTGATACTTCAGCGGTCACGAGTGTTTCAGTGTTTCCAATAAAACATATGGTAATCTCCAGCATTTCTCAATCAGTTACTAATACACCAGTAACTTAAATCAATCTGAGACGAAGATCTCAAAAAACGATGTTCAAAACACCCATCTGAAACCAAGAATACGATCTGCACTACCTGCTGGTCCTACTCACTTTGCCTTAACCGATCCAATTTTTCTGCTGACCCACTGATCCCCCTCATACTGCCCATTTCTGCTGCATAGTCCCCATGATCAGATTTCGTCTTTTTTTGGATTTATTTTTTAATAACCCCTGCTCTCTTTTATTGCTGTGTTCTGTTTTCCATTCTACCTTTAGTACTAGTAAGTTGTACTGTTTTGGATTCTTGTTGACCTTTACTATTTTACGCCTTCGATTACCTATATTTATTATTTTATTAAAATTCGGCGCTTCGCAAATTTTCTAGTTTTCATTTTGTTGTGATACAATTTCTTTTACAAGATTGACAAAACTGGACACGTCAAGGGATTCTAAAGGAGTATTCCATTGGGAGTCTACTTCATAGTATCATGTTTGTCACTGAAATTGGTCATATCCTCTGCTTTGCGCACAACGTCCACCTACGCTCACTGGTGACGAACTGGCAGATGTTCCCTTTTGCGTTTTCCGATCACAAAATTGTACCACCAGCCTCATCCAGTGCGCAGAGTGCGTGAGGTACACGGGCCCATCAGGGTGGAAGGTCCCTGACCGTTGACCCACTGATATTGAACTTTGATTTACGGTGGTAGGAGCAGCTTTTCAAATATGGTAAATGATGCGAAGGAACGAGCTGTCTCAACTCATAGACCACCATAGCGGATTTTAGCAACTTCCCAGAAAGCATTCACTTAAAAGATTTATCCGGAATGCCCGAAATAGGGGAAATATGCATGGTCTCCCTAAGATAAAGATGCATTCCGATATTTTCGTTTCATTTTTGAGAATTTCCACAATGTTTTCTTACTGTAACTATGAATGTTAGAAGCATAGATAAATTGTTGTCGATGGTGTCAATCAACCATTTTTAATGTACGATTCAGAAGCTACACTGCCTGCTGGTCGGATGTTAGTTTTTTCTGCACCATCAAATCTATTGCTCTTGGCGGAAAGCAGAGAATGATTTGATGATGAGACTTTCAGCACTATTCCTGCTCTTTTTGAACCAATTTACACTATACATATCGACTGTCGTGCAATATAACGCAGCCTATCCTGATGTGGTGTACACTTTTCTCCCAAAGAAAACGCGAGCGGCGTACGTTAAGCTTCTTCAAGACTCAATTTATGGTTGACTTCGAATACGCAACAGAAGTTTCCAGAAAAATCAACAAATCAACAAAGGAGCCCTCTTCACAAGGTCTTTTAAAATTTATATCTTGCAAGTAACGCAAACAATGCTTTGGAGAGGTTGTAGATGCAAAAAACAGGGCTCAAGTGTCCTGCCTTGTGCAGCTCTGGTATAGGAAATGCCTTAACGTTTCCCTAGGGAACATCGATGAGTCCGACGGCGAGCAAAACGCCGAAAGTTCTGCAGGATCTGCTGCGAGTAGCCTGGCTACTACGAAACCCAGCCTCTCCGTAAAGATATAATGTGCTTTATGCCTTTTTTTTTGGCGTTAGCAATACAATATAAATCATCAGATGCTAAAGTTTGAGAAACTCTGATTTTGCAAAGTTTCCCATTTTTTATACAGCTGAATGCTAGATATAAATCAAAGGTACATTTTCTACAACTGAGTACATTTCAGAACAAATACCCCGGGATGAGTATAGAAGCTGATATTCTAAATTAGTGAGCTTAGACAATTGTTGGAAAAAATATTTACTATTTGAAAGGCTGTATCTCGAAACCTGTTGGAGTTACAGACTACAGAGCTACCTTGGAAGCAAACCGTAGGAAATATTATCCTCGACATTTACGAAAAATTGAAAAAAGTCCGAAAACGTCAGGGTTTTTCGATCACCACTCAGTTAGCTCAGGTCTTTGGAAGTTGAAAACTTGGTTCTTGCAATACAGTCATACATACTACCAACATAACAACAAGTGTAAGTTGTGCAAAACTCTTGTGCAGATAAAGCGCATTTTTTTAACCGAAATAGCTTTTGTTTTGACATCACCAATGGATATATTTCTTGCAGACGTCTCAATCGCCCTTTGGGAGTACCCTCTACGGCTCTACCGAGAATCCATTCTTGAAATATAAGGGAACCTTTCATTAGAGTACCATGAAGGATAAAACTAGTTCCACTTCTCCCCCTCCCCCTCCACCCCGTACTTTGATAAGAGGACAGAAAGAAGGGCAGTAGTTGGTAGAAAACGGTTCCTTTCGTTGAGACCTTTAATTAAAAAACAATGAGAGATAAAATTAATTTTTAATCCACCCCCCTGATCACTGATCTCGAAAAAGAGTCGCACGGGAAAGTTATAGTTTGTACAAACCAATTGATTTCGATTAGATCTTTCATTAGCATACCATAAAGGGTAGAACATGTCACCCCCCCCCCCCATTTTCTAAAGTTTAACTTGGCACCACTAAAGGCATGTGTTTCTTCTTGATCCACCGGTTTTATTTTAAAGGCGAACATGGGTAGGTATTCGCAGGATATCTCTATGATTCAACGGACATGGAAACGTAGACAATTTATGATTTCGTCTCCCCCTATGATGCATATTGCTGTACTTTTCGCTTTGATTAGTTTATGACTTCAATGACCGCAAATTGCAACAAAGAAAATAGCTATTTATTGTCCACTGGCACCAAACTTCGAAGAGATTTTGATTTCATTAAAGAAGAAGAAAACAGCAGGTTATTATATCAGGACTACGATTAGGACCTACAAAACTGACTCATAAATACCTTTAGGAAAAGTCACCGCCACCTATCTGTGATTTCTGTGACATGTAAATTTTCAAGCAAATTTTTAATGGTGTAAAAGAGCTAAGTTGTTCAATGCACCTTAAATAAATCAATACAAAAAGAGGAATTTTGTCTTTATGGTTGCCAAGACATATATTTAAATTTTGGTTGGGGTTTACAAGCCAATTTGAAATTAGATTTTTTTAAATAGTAATAATTGAATCTGAAATGTTATTTATATAAGGAATTGTACCGATATATTTATAATTATTTTGTGTAATAGTTAAAGTGGTTAATTTCATCAAATGCATTTTATTTTTATTTTGTTTACTAGTCTGTGTACTAGGGAGTTAATGGCAGCTAGTTTATGGTTATAAGGACTACTACTACCTATATGCAGGGATGATATTATCTGTGTGTCTACCTTTTCTATACATTTCAAATTCAAATTTGTTGTTTGAGGTGTGAATTTTGAGGTCTAAAAAAGGTAAAGAATTGTTTGTGGATTTTTCCGTGGTAACTTTAATATAAGGAGGCCAAGTCTTTTTGACTTTTTTTTAAATGGTGCGTCCTGTATATTTTTACACTATTTGCCAGCGATGAGGATATTGTTGCCGGTATAATCGCAGGGCTGGTCTTGAATTATTGTTTGATAAATGGAAACATTTCAACATATCTACCTTCTCGTTAATCTCTTCCGTTTTTACAACAAATAATAATCTAAGTTACCAATTCATTAAACTTTTTCACAAAGTTATAACAATAAACTGATACAAATGTCAAATTTTGTTTCCATAGCCAGCTTTAATTCCCAGTAAAACTATTTTAATATTTTCTTTAATATCTCGAATTCTATTAAGTTTAGAAGGTATAACAGTATTACTTATGAAAGCAAAAAATATTTCCTACCAAATAGAATAAAAATATACAGGGCGTACCATTTAAAAAAAAGTCAAAAAGAGGTATATCTCCGAAAATTATAATATTTTTTTTCTGATTTACATTAATTTATGTAGCTTGCTAGAAACACTAAACATTTTATTTAAAAATTTTTTTGCATCTAATAACTTCGGAGAAAAATCGAGTTTCCTAGTTCCGTTTACACCCTGTATATGTAAGCCAGAAACAGAAATTAAATTAAATTTGAGTAAGACTCTCAGAATCTCATTTTTGAACCCATTTTACGACACTTCTTTTAAGCTTGATTGTCTTCATACGGTACCGTATCATGGTATTTGTGAATTTCTACATTACTTTTGCAAACAAATTTCCGAAATGAATATTGAATTAATGTTGCCTGTTGTTAAGCATCGTTGCAAAATTTGTTAGGAAAGCTCTGATTGACTTCATATTTCTTTTTTTGTAAACTTGTCTTTAACGATTAACAACAAAGAACTTGAGTTCATCCTACCAAAAGAACGACGAAGTTCACAAATTCTGCCAAATTTGAATATCCTGTGAATTGACGATATGCAATGGGATATGCAATGGAAGGGTTTTGGATTTGGTTGGAACCCAAAAATTTCGGCTAAATACCTATTATTGTCACCGAATTTAAAATTAGTTATAGACACTGAAAGTACACGACACCCTCTGTGTGAAGTTGTATAAAGGATTTGTTGTCATAAAATATTCCTTACGCTAAAGAGTACCTACCAATTTGTCTGTTTGTGAATCTACCTCGATAACCTGCAAAGAAATTTAATTTTAGGATCAGTAATTCACACACACGTTTTTTTTTAGTTGAACCTATTTGTTTATGTGTATCCGTCTAAGAACGTTAACGTGACATCGGTTGTCCAAAATGCAAATTGCTGGACAGATTATATATAAATTACAAATTAATATCATCATAAACTCACCCTAGTCCGATATCTGAGCAAACTTTAGTAATATCTTGTTTTGTGAGTAAAGGCGTGATGAGAAACTAAACTACATCCTGTTATGCTCTTTAATGCTCATTCTTTATAGTAACTTATCCGCCAATTTTTTTCTGGCAACATTCTAGTCGTGTGTGTGTTTAAGTTTAGTTTAAAAATATGTCTGTATCGAATAGAATTCCAAACATAATTAATACGGAAGATAGTAACATGAAAACTGTATTCATATTTTTATGTTTTCCTTTCGAAATAAAAATTGTGTTGGCAATACAATTCTTATTCAAACATGACAGTGTCTGTCTATATGATGTGTAATAGAGGGTAACTGGGGGTAGTGTTAGTTAAATGAGGGAGGATTGAGACGTAAGTATATGTGAATGTGTGAGTGTGAGGAATGGTTATGATGGTGAATTCGAGGCAATGGTCCGTATTCCACTACATCCCGTTGTAGCCCGAAAAACCGCATTCGTCCGTCTGGAAACAATGGCCACCAAAACTTTATTCTAAGACATTTGCTATGTATTTTAGTAGATTTATTTTACGCAACACTTCTCACGCTCTTCTTTTACGCTCAAGTGTGCTAGTCCATTACTTTTTTATTCGTCGTTTGAATTGAAACTTAATATTTCAATTCATGCAAACAAAACATTTATATAGGTTGCAGTCGCTTTTTTGGCGACGCAAACGGAATAACTTGTCTTCCAATCGTCATTATGAAAGTGAAACGATCGAAAGCACAGATATGAATCTAGTTGCAACACTCCTACCACGCATGGCTATTTAGTTTAACCAACAAAAAATAACTACAACTTTGTTGATTTTCAGAGTAACCACAAAAGTAAATGTTTGTGCCACGTCTAAAAAAATCCGCAGTACCAAGACGAAAAAACTAATAAATCGATGTGTAATGTTTAAATAATAAATATTATATGGTAGGTAACCTTTTGTAAGAGGTAGGCCCATACTGTTTTTTAGATACTTAAGTCATAATGAATTATTAATATGCTGTATCGTAGAATTTAAGCCGGTAGACCGTCACTTCTACCAAATTGAAGCCTCAAAACCTTACACTCCAAATGAGTAAAAGCATTCGCTAGAAATACTAATTTATTCCTAATTAGTATGGAGCAGTTAATTTTCTTACGTATTTAAAGTAATAATAATGTGCACACGATGCGTTCTTGCCGTGAAACCCCATGCAAAATAAAAAACGAGTATATTATGAAACCCGTATTGTTAAGCAATCTAATATACAGGGTGTTCATTTGAAAACTTCCCACTACGGGTTTATCGAAAACCACAGATTAAAGGAAAAAATGTCGAGACACGTCAAAATATTTGTCAAGGAGGACAACTTTTTAACCAAAAACTAATTCACCCCCTTTCATCATCTGTGCCCCAGGGTTATTCCCTTAAAAATTTTAAATGACACGGGGTATCTAGTAATAGCTTGTTTGAAAGGTCTTTCGAAGTCCTTTATTTTGACGTTTGATTTTTTTAAAATGGACCGATTTGTTTTCGAGAAAATTAGAAAAATCTTTATGTAATTTATTTAATCGACCTTTCTTAATTTGTTCAGATAGAAAACAAAAACAAACGAAAATATCACTTATTTGTTGCTATGGGAATTTTTACTACATGCGATATGTTTGTCTTTATTAGAAGCAGCTATAATTAAAATTTCAGAGAAATATCTTTATAAATAAAGAACTTAGTGTATTCGCAATATTATTAAAATTTCATAAAAATATCTGTATAAGCAAGAAAATTGATTATTCTAAGAACGTGAATTTTCGACTATGTAAGTCAGTCTCTGATGAGCTAGTATTCCACCAGGGCCCAATTTTCCTTTGCGGCGAAAACTCTGGGGCATATTTTCCGGTGAGGATTTTTCCAAGGTGAATGTTCTGGGAACAAATTTACCGGAAATTGTTTCCAATGAAGTTAATAATTTATCCAGTATTTCTACTGCATAAAATTGTGCTTTATTTAAAGATGCGTTAGACTGGAGATATAATAATGATTATTTTCAAATATCTGATGCACTTGCAAACAAAATGCACGGGGTTGGTCCCCCCTTCCGTGATTTTGAAAAAATACTCAATGCATCTGTTATTTACTTGCATATTCTACACGAACGTTAACAAAATGAAAGTGCAATTGTCAGGGGCGGACTGGCACACGGGGGGGGGGCGGGGGGCGATTGCCACCTAGCCTGTAGATCATAATGGCNCCCCCCCCCCCCCCCCCCCATTCTTAGAAAGCTCCTCCTGAGTTTCACGCCAATTAATTTGATATCGGTAGTAACTTTTTATATTTGATAGTTTCCAAAATATTCCACATTGAAGTTTCGTATACCATTAAGAATTTTACGTCTTACGGCCCTAGGGCCAAGGAATGAAAAGATGAGTGAGAGCATCCAACGTTTCTTCGAACATAAAATTGACATATTCCAGCGTTCACTCTATCCGAGAGGTGCCTTGTGTCGTTTTAGTCGCGCCACTCTGTATAAATAAAAACAATAAAGAATTTAGGTAAATTGCTTTACAACAATTAACTTTGGAAATCTATTAGATTAGATTAGATTAGATTCAAAGGAAGAAACTATAGACGTGGTCACTCGCGACCGACGAAAGCGCATTTTCCCCGCACAGAATCAGTAATAACTCGGGAGAGAAGTGACTAATCCAAAACCTATTTTGACGTTCTGGTCTCGGGGCTGTGCTACACCGTATAAGAAAGGAACCACAACGAAAAAGCTTAACCTGGAGGACTAGAACTGGTACAGACGAACAAAGTGCGGAAAATAGCTATCATTTTGGAAAATGCGCTAAAAAAATTCTTTGCCTCTGTCGGTTTTCCCCGTTGCTCGATCTACAACGTATTTGATAGCTGAAACCGTCCACAAACATCATGAGGGAGTAGTTCAAAGACGGACAGATGTATCACACGGGAAACTTTTCCTTAGGAAAATGCGTTTAAGCATCGTAATAAACCTAGGTTTGGAAACCTTTACCTTAAGAAATATCGTTCGTCCGTCTTCGTTCGTTAAAACATTCCCACAATTTTGCGGATGTTCCAAAATACAGATCTATCCATGAATTCAAACAAGGTAACTGCGTAAAGAATTTAAATTACAATAATTAATATCCGATTGACCTACATCGAGATGTCTGGTCGTTGGCAGGGGCCAAACAAATCACCTCAAAAGTTTCACACTGTATATAGGTAGGTTTTCTTATAAAAATTTATTTGGACTATTAATTAGAAAAGTTGCAATAAATGCGTTCAATTAATTCAAATAACGCTGGAGGAGGACAGGGTTGAACGATTATTACCGGGTGATAAGGGGTGTTAATAAAATGTAGCAACAAGCATGCTATAACAATGAAGAAATGCAAAAGGAAATGCGCAGCAATCGCGTATGATGACGGTCGTCTGTGTGGCAACAAGGGTACTTGTTGGGGTGCGAAGCGTGAACGTGAGAGTTAGAATGATAAATGGTCAGTCATACATATAGCCGTTTAGACCCGGACTCGTTTACAAATCCGGGAAAGGATTTAGAATATTTTACTGCCTTGTATACAAGGTGCGAACAAAGCTTGTCAAATTATCTACTCTGTTATTAAAAAAGGTAATGTTTCCTTTGCGAACAATGAATCTACATATATAGAGCATTATGCGGGGTGGTAATAGTTAGAAAAGAGCTAAGTTCTGACAGAAGTTCGTAATCCCGCGGATCAGTTGAGGGACCGCAGGAAGACGGTTTGTAAAGGATTTGTGAAATGTAATTGGTTCAGCTGGTGCAGACACGTTGGAATCATCAATAGCTCATCAGATTGCACGTCCAACCTGAACCCCGCGACCCAGCTTCTCGCAATTACCGCCACCTATTTATCGCTCAGAGATTTGGTTTATCACTAGCTTACCATTAAGGCGTTTACTATTGTTCCTCTGTCATTAGCTTTAGGGAAATTCGTATTACTTTTATTGGTCGCTGCCACAGTGGAATTTCTGAACCCCTGAAACACGACCGAGATTTAAATCGGTTAATGGGTTCAGAAGCCTAATTAAGGGTACTTAAAAAGGCGCATTATATGCGTTTTGACGTTTCCTTAATGAAAACGATGTTAACCGTTTGGATGCTGTACCTTTTACTGTAAAGCACATACCAGTTCGCAGTTGCCTTATGCAAAAATATGCAGATCCCCCGCATCTCAACGAATTTCAATTGGTACTGTAAAGTTCAAAATTTATTTAGATTTTATATGAGTATATTGAACAAATTAGTTCGTACGATGTCGCTTAAAATATATTGCCCCAATTGTGTAACTAGAGTACACCACTAAACAAAGATGAAAAGTTGCGCGTGTTCACTATGTCACTATAATTCTTTTTGCCGCTTTCCAGACAAAAATTGGTGCATAAATGGAGATTATGCAATTTGAGCATAATTCCGAAATATTTTGGAAGCATTTTTTGTTGGTACATTCACGCGTATTAGGGTGCCGAGGTCTTGTCCTTTCGCATATATATTTTTTATTCGCCAAAAGGAAATTCGCTCCACTATTTTTTCGTATACCAAGACAACGGGTAAATATAGATACGGGCTATAGGGCGACAAAATCGTACATAAACATAGCGATAGAAAAGAGAAGTACCAATGCAAAACCAACACTGTAAAAATGTAGAATTGTTGGCACAAGGTTATTGAGTCTTTTCTAATTGAAACTTTTTCCTGACAATCAAATGGCAGTGACAATCAATTATACTTATTTTTTTGTAAAGGTCGCAATTAATTATTTATCG